AAAAAAATGACAAGTAATGAAAACAGGAAGAAGATAGTGTCATTTCCATATGCGCACAAGATTGCCCATAACTTAAATAACGTAGGTAATCGCTATGGCCTAGAATTAGTTTTTTCGGCACCCAACAAGCTTAGTAAAATATGTTCCAAACTAGACCGTAAAGTTTCCATAGCAGTAAACACTAATGCTGGTAGTTGTACGGTAAATCACACAACAAAGTTTGTTAAGTGTAGCCTATCAGTCGTGTATTGCTTGCCGCTAACGTGTGGAAAGGTATACATCGGCCAGACGGGTCGTTGTTTGAACACCCGACTTTTAGAACACAAGCGATCATTAGGAACTGGCATTCGTTCTCACATAAAGAGACACTGTTCCCAGTGTGGCTGCTCACCACTGTACAGTGACACAACCGTAGTCTTCCGTCATGGAAACCAACTAACCAGAGAAATTGTCGAAGCCTTTCACATTAAAAAAAGGAAAAAAGGATGCATTCGTCAGTCATCGGTTTCGTTAAGTAACCGAGAAGCCAGCTACCTCGAAGGACTTAATTGAGATCAGTGTTTGCATGTGTCATACTCTTCTTTTTGTCGTTTCAAAATTTTGTTTCAAACACGTGTGAATTCCCGCAAAATTTTTTGTTTTTTTTTTTTATTTGATGTTACCCAGGGCTGTTTTGGTTATGTCATCTTAAAGTGTCTAAGCGTAACTGCCGTGTACTATCGCTTGAGTCTGCGCAAAAGCTTCTGTTGGCGATGATTCAGTGTTCGTAGTTCTTTTCTGTGTCGCTAGGGTTATGGGTTATATATGAAGTGCTGCTTCTGAAATAAAAATTAGTTGCGAGTGTAGCGAGTGTCGTGTTTTCTTGTCCTTTTCGTCCCCGTGAATTTGCGCTACTACACCATATGGTTAAATGATGTCTCACCAACTAGCCCAGCTCTCAACCCTAGTGAGAACTTCCTCTGCTTGGAAATTCAGTGAAAGTAGTTTACATGCTCCACAAACACACGCGTCTTTGTTACATGCTTCACAATACAACATGAAATATTGCAGTAATAATGCGTGGTATAAGCCACGGGCATCAGAATATGTGATTACCAAAATGGCTCCGTGGTTGAAAGCCGGTACCCCACTACAAAAGGCACACATGCTACTGCACCTATTCCCTTAAGACCACGTATAGTGGGTGCATAGCTAATTCAAAAAGGTTACATTCAAAAAGTGTGCATAGTAGCAAATTCAAAAAGGGTGCATAGCAAATTCAAAAATGCACACTAGGAACAGGTATTTGCTATCGTCCCACTCCTGAAGATGAAGCTTTATTTATCCTCAAACAAGGGAACAACCGGCAAAACATGTAGTGCTAACAACAAAGACTGATAAGTGATGTGTTTTTAACTTGGCGCAACTTTTAAGACTGCTTGCCATTGCCTAGGTACATTGCTAGGCACTGTCATGCCAACTATATGCTCATTCTGATATGCTCAAGCACATCAGAATGCAGCTGCAACACCCGGTATTGAACCCACAAGTGAGCTAAGTAGCGCAGTGCCATAGCCGAAGAGCTACTGCGGCTGGTAGTCCAACTGTCAGGTTTATTGTACCTTGGCGAGTTCACCACACAAGACAGCCATTGGAACTGTACTATACTACTCTTGAACTCTACAGCCTGCCTTCCCCCATCTCCAGCTTCTGGTAAGACAAAGCGACGAGGTTCCTAAAAGAGGTCATGCCATGGTTATCCACGAATTTGTGTTTTTCAGCAAAGCTATAGGTAGAGAGCCTATTATACCTATACAGGTTTAAAAAGTGGGCGTAAAAGAATATTTCAGGGAAAAACAAGCCCGAGAGGAGGCCAGCTCTAACCCCGCCCATTGCCAGTGACTGCCGTTTCGCTATCGCACCTGTGACGTCATGAATTGAAAGGAGCAGAGCCCTCGCCTTCTTTCGAAGTTTCAGTCGCTGCGAATTGTTCAATTTCAGCACCAAACTGAAGGAAGCTGGAATATCTTGATTTGACGCGCAGCTTACCATGGAACAATATCAACTGCCGAATGCAGGCGCTCGCTTAGCCAACTACTCCTTACATCAAAGCTGGCGTGTGCCCCAGTGTAGCCCGACTCACAGGCAGCTCGCGTGCTTATAATATTAAATTTTAAATTGAGTACCTAAAGAAATGCACTAAAGCTCAACCAGCTTATTAGCAAATACCTAGGGACTAACCCACATGACGCAGATTATGATTGAAAATTGGGTGTCATGGCAACATTAAGCTAACTCTAAGCAAATCACAAGCAAAGGTTATTGCTCTGCAAAGCACTAATTTCACTTCATCCCATTCAGCGGCGGCGACTATGTTTTTGTACGCAACTCGTTTATGCTAGTTGTGTCAACTTGTAGGGAAAAGAGGGCTAGATGCACGTCTCATTGAATGAACTGAACCTTCTCCATATCCTGTACGTCTTGACTAAATAATGTAATTTTGGTTGGAGTTTTCTCTTCAACTTTCTATGCCAACCCAGTGCACTTCTGCCAAATGTTCACCTTTGATTGAGTATGTCGTGTACTCCAGTGTGCTGCGTATACGATCATTTTGGTGAAGGTACTGCGATGTTCGACTAGTCGTTCAGCACACCACACTTCAGGACCAAAGCCAAACTACCATTTTGCTTTCCTCAAAATGAGTGTGCGCAACCAAAAACAACTTACATACACAATTGAAACATGACAATTCAATACTTTCATGTAACCATGGAAAGCAAGTTACTGCAGAAAAACTAATTAAATATTTAATTACACACTAATAACAGTAAAAGACAAATTCACACAAAACAACACATTGCTTCATTTTCTTTCTTGGAATGTAAAATTGAGTGCCTTGGAATTATACTATGATAATTTGACACATATGTAGACAGTGCATCATACCGTATTTACTCGCGCAATGAACGCACTTTTTTTCTCGTGAAGTCGAAGCAAAGTTGGGGGTGCGTTTATTATGCGGGGCTATGTTTATTAAAACTTTTTTGGGATGAGCAAAGAATCCAGTCATGCAAAAAAAAAGTTAGGCCACTGAGCCTTTGGCAATTTATGTACGCATACCCTGTTTGGAAACAGCCTCTTTGTTGCATTTTACTCATCTTCGGTGGTTGATGACGCCATCTTGAGCAAGCTGTACCGGCATCGCCCACGCATGCCATAAAAGCGTTTTGCGACCAACTTTTTTTGCAATCATTTAACCGCAGTGGTATCTGCTCTGATCTCAAGGGGCACCCAGAAGCGTGCGCTACGACGTGCACTTGGACAACATCGTGGCAGCCTCACACGACAACCACAATGATGCCGTTCACATTGTAGCAAGTTACTAACATTGTAAGAGGCTACCCCGAAGTATCAAAACAAACAGTTGATAACATATTAATGACAAAATACAACTGCTGCCTCACTTCTACTTGAGAAGTTTCTGTACGTGCAGAGACTGAGCGAAGTGAGAATTGAGGGTGCTACGATGTTGTGGAAATTGTCAAGATCTTATTTGAGCGACGAACGATTTTTTCTGGTTTTCCGAAAACCTGCGACGCGATAGCGACAATAAATCTTGTTGTCGTCGCTATAAAATCGCGTGCGTGTCGTTGGGCCTTAAAGTTTCATACTTGCAGGAAGCGACCGTCGGTTGGCGCGGGAAGTTTCATGACCTTCGCTCGCTTTCTGCTTGCAACAGGTATGGAGGCGCCAGGTGCGGTTAGTGAAACTGCAGCGGATGAATTTAGGGGGTGTGTTAATTACGTGGGGAAAAAGATCTAAATTTTGACGACTGAAGTTGCGGATGGGTTTATTATGCGAGTGCATTCATTTTGCCAGTAAATACAGTAATTCATGCTTGAAGGCGTTATTCACTTCAACGTACATTGATTTAAATTTATGCATTTGATTTGTTTCGACCTACGTCAATTTAAAGTCAGTGTCTCGGTTCATTTCAGCACACAGCGGCTCAGTTTCAATTCACTGAATTCACATTCATTATCCCTCAAGGTACTACAGCATCTCTATAGTGCCACTCGTTAAGAGGGGAAACTACGCTCAAAAGAACTGGTTCATGAACAAATGTGAACAATATTTTAACAACGTGTGTATTCTCACGTGTTGATTCCAAAAAGAGACTATTTTTATGGGAGAAAAAATAATTTATAGCATGCTCTAACGTCACTGTCTAAGCTTGCTTTCTGGCTCAAAGGAAAATTAACATCCGAACAGAAATTCTTACTATAATGTTCAAGCACATGTAGTTGCCATTCTGATCAGTTATAATGTATTAATGTATAAAATAGACAAAGCAAGAATTTGCAAACCTGTTCTGAGGCGCAAGTTTGAAAACAGTTTTGGGTGGATTTCTGGCTTTCACGGGCTGCATCCTTTGTTAATGTCCCTAGACATTCGTGTTCATAATGCCAAACATTATTTCTTCTCAACTGACCGGCCTTGCAATGCTCTTACCTGAATATAAGGATGGCCACTGTTTATTCACACTGAAAGGTGCTCACCTTGCCAATTAGGTCCCTTGCCTCGGCGCTTACGTATGGAGGGCACTGCACCCTGCACTCGCGTATGCGCCGGTACGTCTCCTGCGTCGTGGGCGACTCAAAGGGGGGCTTCCCCACCAAGAACTCATAGATGAGAATGCCGAGGGCCCAGTGGTCCACCTTCTCGTTGTAGGTGGCACCCTCAATCATCTCAGGTGGCAGGTAATCCAGTGTGCCGCACATGGTGGCCCGCCTGCGACATAAACGCGTGCTTTCACATTTATGCTAACACAGCCGCGTGTTTGTTCTTTCCCTCGTTTTTTTTTTTTTTTGTCTAGCGCTTGCACTCAATGAGTCGATACCATTATGAGGAACATGACTAAATATTTGCCACCACACTGGGTGCCTGTGCTGACGGCATAGTGGTTGGAGTGCCTGGCGTCTTTCTCCACAAACCAATGCACAATAGATTTGATTACCTGGTCAAGCGCTTAAGCACAGTTTTCCTTTTTTGACCAGTTTGTACGCATTTTTACTGATGTTATTTCTGTGATAAAGTGCCACCAAGCAATTCTCGATAGACTGCTGTACAACAGATCGCAGTGTAAAAGGATTTAACAGCCAGACGAACGCACCTGGATGAAGGTGCATGCACGGACCAGCCGAAGTCTGCAATCTTAATCTCGCCATTAATGCCGACGAGAAGATTTTCCGGCTTGATGTCGCGGTGGATGACCTTTTGTGCATGGCAGACCTTGAGCGCATTGCAGAGCTGGTAGATGTACTGCACACAAGAATATTGAGAAAAGAGAAACCACATCACAAGGTGCATACTTTAGATCAGAATTTCTTGTGTCACTTTTTAATTGACAATAAATAAGCTGAACCAGGACCCATGTACAAACTGGTTCTTTCCAGGGCCTGTTTGAAGTCTTTGGCATTTTACTTTATTATCTTCCAGTAACTATCAGCCCAGTGATAACAGACTCTGGCATATCACCCTCCACAAATTTGTGCCTACCACAGCATGAAATGACACGTGACACACCCGCCTGCAACTTCACAACCAAAAGGCTCGGCTATGTTCTTACAGTGGCAGCTCTCTTGTCAGTGAAACGCCTGGCCGAAGTAAGCTGGCGGTAGAGTTCGCCCTGAGGCGCATACTCCAGGATCAGATAGACCCTCGTCTCATCGTGGAACCAGTTGAACAGGCACAGGATGTTCGGGTGCCTGAAAAACATTTTGCAACAACAGACAAGACATGCTGCTGAAATGACAAGTGCCCACGGATCTGCCAGCTCAAGCTTTTTAACTCTGCTATCACTCCAAGTTTACGCAGATGTGACATTTCGCGGCATAATTCTTTACAGACTGCAAAACTCCTCTATTGCATTTCATAAAATAAACTACGGAAAAATAATTACACCGTCTCCCACTAAAGGGAACCATGTGGGTATGCGAAGCAGCACTGGTGTTCACTTGCGTTTCCATTTGTATGTGTCAGTGTATGTTTCATTTGTGTGTGGAGTTGTGTACATGTTATGTACCGCTTATGTTGCCCCCCCCCCCATTTGTGTGAATTACTGTGTGTGTGTGAGTGCCGCAAAGTGAACACCCAGCGCTTCTAGGAGAGGGCAACGGAGCGAGCATGTGCAGCAGTATATGAGCGCACAGCTGTGGCAGAGAGATAAACGGGAGAAGAGAAACAAAGCGGAAGCAGCACTCAGCCACCTCCTCCTACGTTGCACTCACATGAAGAGGGGGGCCTTGGCGACTGTTCTCTCCCCCACTGCGCATGCGCCTACTGTCCCCCTTTCCTCACACAAGGAGATAGTTGGCGCATGCGCACTAAGAGTGGTCATGCCGCATGCTAAGTGTGTTGGTATTCTTCCATTGCACCTCCACTGAAACCTACCCAGTGTCCAGAAACCACATTGCCGTTCATGAGTGTAGCAGCAAGATGCCTCAGCCTGTTGGGCTACCATGGCAAGAAAACTAAGGAACATGGGGCCACAGGTTAGAATGCGTACTATTACAATGATTTTGCTTATTAGTCGAATGCAGGAGCAGGAGCATATGGCAGCAAAAATTAGGAGCAAATGTCAATAAACCAGCAGATCAAAACCTTTTGAGAGATACAAAAAAAGCAAGCTTCAAATTCATAAGCCACCAGGCTAAGTTCCACAAAGGCACGAAGAGTAATTTTGCAGGTCTTTGTAAAAATGCCAGTTGTCTTTGCAATATGAGACACTGTTGACAGTCTTCAGCAAAATGTTCCCAGCAACACAGGCACGGTCACAGGCTTTAGATTAAATTAAGGATTTTACATGTCGAAACCAAGATATGCCGTAACAGGGGAGAGCAAATCAATTTCGTGAGATTATCCAAAATACTCCTAAATTTAGGTTAACATACGTGCCATTTACATATCCATGGCCCTCACCCTTATCAAATTCCATCCCTCCTGAAACTAGACAACCATGGCCGAAAGTCACATCTGTGTTCAAAATATCACCAACATGACCAAGAGACCTACACAGGAGGTGACACACCAGACCCCTGCCCCCCCCCCCCCCCCCAAAAAAAAACATTTTTTTTTCCACCAAGGCACAGAAAGTGAAAAATAACCCTTGCAAGAGGGTGCCCCTCCAGAAATCAAGTTGGTGCCCCCCCCTCCCCCCTCCCTTCACCCCCTGAAAAAAATTTCTGGCTATGCCCCCGACTATTATCAGTGGGTGTAACAGCTGGAGAAGGAAACAAAAATCGCAGCATATTCACTCTCAATGTTAGCTAGAATTCGTTCCCTTTTTTTTTCTACAAATTATGCCACATACCCAAATTTATGTTCACTGGCTGATTGGAGAACTGCTAGCTGCACAGTTGCAGCACATGCTTCAGTGGGAATTAAAAGAGGACCTGCAACACCTTTCCAGCAGGGTTAGAAAACACTGCTATCTAGTAATCAAGACTATGATGAACACGTGAGGCAAACAATATAGCGCGGCATGCAGCCAGAAATTTAGAATTAACTCACAACGTAGGCTAGAAATCGTTCCCTTTTCTTTCTACAAATGATGCTGTATGCCCAAATTTATGGTCACTGGCCGATTTGAGCATTGTTAGCTGCACATTTACGGAGGTCACTGTAGAAGACAGACACGCGGCCGTCTGCGTGATCACATTGAAGGTAAGTTGCGTGTTCGAAGAGAAAAAAGAAAATGTGCTCAAGGTCCTGACATGCGTGATGAAACTTGTTTCTACCGTGCCATCCCTGCCTGCTTCGCTTCCACCGTCCTTGTCGAGACAAGAGAAGAGAGAAAGCAATTTAGTGTGCAACAAATCTTCGACTTTGCTCATACTTCACAGATTCCAAAAAATCTAACGGCGGTCGATTCATAAGGCAATCTACCCACTTTGTAGAGCTATTTTATGGTTACTTGTAAAAGTGTTGCAGGGCCACTATAATCAAAACAGGTGCTTCAGAGCACAGAAGTCACACAAATGTGACAAACAGCAGTATCAATGAAGTTCTGCTGTGCTACCTTGGTTTGGAAATACCTGCCTCTACACTCATTGACAACTTTTCTACACAGTGCAGTGGAAGCCACAGAACCAAAGTGCGTGCCTGCTCCTGTGCCAAAAGCTAGTACTCAATTTTACTGATAATTTTCTTACTCACCTTGTTGAAATGATCGCTGCTTTATTTAATGAGACTTTAAAACTTTCAGGAAGTTATAGGTAAAATAGTTATTGTTCACTTTGCAAGCAACTCTTTTTCTTTTCATGTCTTGGACAGCACCACCTCTTCAACATGCCCTTCTTCCGAAGTAAACACAACGCCCACGAGGTAGTAGGTCAGTGCGCGGCCACAGACGTGCTGTTCAGTACTCCAAAAAAAAAAAGATAGTTGTACTATGACACTGAAATGTACACTGAGTCAATGAATTGTTTCTCCAATTTACATGTTTTGTGAAATGTTTTTGTAAATGCATATTACGCCAAGTGAAAAAAAACCGATTTTTTTCTAAATGTCATTTTTTTGGTTTTTGATCATGGGAAATGTGCACTTTTTGCCCACATTTTGCTGCAGAAAGCTTCTGCCTAGTTTTTTTATTTTTTTTTTATAAAGAGTTACAGGCAAAAATGTTAGACCATCGATCACTTACGAAACTGCGAGTTTCGTCTGCATCATAAGATTAGCTTGATATGTGGTATTTTCTTCGTTATTTAGCTATCATATCAAGTGCTAACATAACAGTGCTCTAAAAGCATTGTCAACCCCTCAATTTTTATCATAAAAGTCATAAACTTCTAACTAGTTAAACACATAACATGGTACATGTGTTGTTCGTGCTCAGGCACTGATATGTGAGCTTGTCAACCATCAAATTTGCTCTGGTTGACGCTGCCTGTCATTTCAATAATGACAGGAGAAGAACATTTGATATTAGAAGCAAATTTGAATCAAGCCTGGCCTCTGCACTGCAAAAGCTTGCCTCAATGATAATTAGCACCTCAGCCTGAAAGCACCGTGGTCCTGGTACTGACCCTGCAAAGTCAGCTACAAAACAAAAAAGTAGAGTTGCCACTCGAGCAAGGGCGCACAGCAGTAAAGTCCGCGACAGAAGTGGCTGCACATATTGAAAATTTCAGGACTCCTGATTATCTTGGAAGAATGCTAACATCATCTTAATACATAAGAAAGGAGATGACAAGGACTTGAAGAATACAGGCCGATCAGCTTGCTCTCCATAGTACACAAGCGATTTACAAAAGTAATTGCTAACAGAATTAAGAAAACATTAGAATTCAATCAACCAAAGGAACAAGCAGGATTTCGAACAGGCTACTCAACAATTGACCACATTCATGCTATCAATCCGGTAAGAGAGAAATGCTCAGAATACAGCCAACCACTATACATAGCTTTCATAGATTACGAGAGGGCATTTGATTTAGTAGAAATATCAGCAGTTATGCAGACAGTGCGGAACCAGGGTACTGACGAAGCATATATAAACATCCTGGAAGAAATCTACAGGGGATCAACTGCTACCATAGTGGTTCATAAAGAAAGCAACAAAATAACAATAAAGAAGGGTGTAAGGCAGGGGGACACAATCTCCCCAATGATGTTTACCACATGCTTAAGGGAGGTTTTCAGAGGCCTAGAACGGGAACAGTTAAGCATAAGAGTTAATGGAGAGTACCTTAGTAACCTGCGCTTTGCCGATGACATTGCATTGCTCAGTAACTCAGGGGACGAATCCCAATTCATGATTACGGAGTGAGACAAGGAGAGCAGAAAAGCAGGTCTTAAATTTATCTGCAAAAAATGAAAGTAATGTACAACAATCTTGCAAGAGTGCAGCTTTTCAAGATAGGTAATAGTGCACTTGAACTTGTAAAAGACTATGTCTACTTAGGACAGGTAATAACTGCGGAGCAGAACCACGAGATTGAAGTAACTAGAAGAATAAAAATGGGGTGGAGCCCATTTGGCAAGCACTTTCAAATCATGACAGGTAGATTGCCACTATACCTTAAGGGGAAGGTATATAACAGCTGCATCTTGCCGGCACTTAGCTACAGAGCAGAAACCTGGAGACTTGCAAAAAGGGGTAAGCTTAAATCGAGGATGACGCAGTGAACAATGGAAAGGAAAATGGTAGGTGTAACCTTAAGAGACAAGAAGAGAGCAGAGTGGATCAGGGAACAAACCGGCGTTAAGGATATTATAGTTGAAATCAAGAAGAGAAAATGGACATGGGCCGGGCATATAGCACGTAGACAGGATAACCGCTGGTCCTTAAGGGTAACTAACTAGATTCCCAGAAAAAGGCAAGTGGGCTAGGGGGAGACAGAAGATTATGTGGGCAGATGTGATTAAGAAATTTGCGAGTATAGATTAGCAGCAGCAAACAGAGGACCGAGTTGAGTGGCTGAACATTGGAGAGGACTTTGTCTTGCAGTGGACATAGTCAGGCCGATTATGAGCTGATGGATGATGATATTTATCTGGTGCAAGCGATCTGCTGTTCCCGTCTATTTTGTCGATTTTCTCAGAACTTACATTCCTGCTATTTTTCCGTCTGGGAACAGCCATAACTCTTTCGCTAATAATAGTTTTTAGTAAAACTTGACACAATTCCTTATCAAACTAGTATGCATGCTTTAGTGCCCCATCGCTTGATTGCACGTTGGGGCGCCCGGTGTAGCGTACACGTATCCCGAAGGAGTACGGCCACTAGCGGGGGTTCGGTCTTCGCAAGCCGCAGGGCACGCGTTACTCAAGGTAACTCGGAGAACACGGTACTGCTCAGGTCGCAACACTTTATGTCTGCAGCACATCCAAAACCAGTACAGAGCCCGTTGCAAAAGTGCATGCGGGAAAGAAAATGGGCTTACCCATGCCACGGGCAAGAAATACTACCCAAGGGGTGCCACGAGCACGTCTCCGTGGGCAAATGTGATTCACGGTGACACCAGGACAAAGGGCCCGGTTGCTCAAGCGAGGGCAAAACTCCGTGTGCATTGGCTTCAGATAAAGGTGAGCGTCCGCTGCAGGCGCAAGGCGCTGTTGGCGAAGTCCGAATGAGCCCCAAACAAAGGGAGCCGACGGAACGAAAAAGAAATGCGTGCTTACCTTATGTTGTCCCAGAGGGTTCTCTCTCACTCCCGACACGCGTGCGCGAAACATCCCGAGAGACTCCGCGCACGGTGCCACAGTCAACATCCGCAACCAGGTGGGAGGGGTAAATGTCCCTCCCCACTCTCCCAACGCGGCAGACCGCGGAGGAGAGGAGAGTCATGTCGGGACATGAGAACGCAGAAAGAGGCGGCGGGCTAGCCTCGATTCCCACAAGGCAATGAACCTCGATGAGCAAACATCGTGCTACAATATTAAATATGGCTGCCTGTTATACTTATGTGCCGTTAGTACTAGTGGATAATTTCTGGGTATTCATTTAATATGAATTTTCTTAAAATATTCACCAGATCTCATTTGTTTTGGTTCACTGCATAGGCTAAAGCTTTTTTATGTCCCTACAAAAAATAATATTCTGAGTTACAAGTAAAACTTGAGTTACAAGTATTGGTGTAAGGCCCACTTTTAACAAATCTTTTTAATTATGGAAAGTTAACAAAAAATGGGATTGTTTATAATGCTCACATGTGCCTAAAATGGTGTGCTTTATATTGCAGACTAATATTCTGTATTGATTATTGCTTTAAAAAAATAATGTTTTGACACTTGGCCTCGTACCTTAACAACGCAGGCGAGGAAAACGCGATATCTGTCGCAAGCTGCCATATTTATAGATAAAAAGAAAAACAGTGGCGCTGTCATCGCTGTTACGGAAGAAAGTACATTGGATGGCGTAACAAGCCTTCCAATGTCTCATTGTGTATGATAGCCACACTACATTCAGCGTCAATAATTAAGCTCACCTGAGATGAGACTGGATCTCAATCTCCCGTCGAAGTTGATGCTCCACGCCGTTCTTCTGAAGCTGAGACTTGAACATGACCTGTGCAAAGAGCATCACGCTCAGTTTGGTTCTCATTCGATGGACTTTACGAAACACACAACAGTGCAGTACAATTTGACAATACTGAACGTCTTGAGATGTGCCGATCTGTCAATTACACAAGTGTCGCCATGTAATAGCGATTGCCGCTGCTCATGCACCTTTGAGAATACCGGAGCACCCGCATCATTCTATGTTCACAGGTTTTACAACACCATTTTGTGATGTTCATATTATGAGATCAAATGTGCTTCGTTCACTATAGAATAGGGGAAAACATCAAAGAAGCTTTATTCCACTAAGTCAGTAGTTACTGCTTGACGTTATAATTATATTAATACAAAGTAATCGATAACGATGCCAAAGAAAGCAAATGAAATAGGCTTGTGTGAATAATAGTAGCGTATTCAAATTCAAATTAATGAAAATTTTAAAGTATTCGCAATGAATCAATAAATGCATAGTATATTAGTCCGCACGCAACCGCCTGTAAAAATAACTTCACTGTAGTGTAAAGGTGCTAAGCCGTGAAAGCACCTGTCCAAGAGAAATCCGCTCTGCCCCCCTTCCCCCTCAAATTTAAAGTGGCCCGCAACACTTCTTGAGCATGGTCAGAAAATGCTGCCAATCAGTACTCGAGGCTAACGAGAACACGCAAGCCAAATATTATAGCGCAGTACACGGCCTTGAATACACAATAAATTCTCAAAGTCAGCTAAAAACTGCTCTCTTCTCTCAGCAAATGATACCACAAGCTCAACAATCACTCGTCACAACCATTGTATCAGCCACTGGCTGATTTGAGCATCAGACGCATTATTATCCCCCCCCCCCAACCCTTCACTGCCAAGGGTCGCTCAGAACAGCGGCTAGCAATTTCGCGCGTCGTCATTCGAAAATGAGATGCCAAGTGCAGTGCGTGCCGACTTTTTAGTCTTCGTAGTTACACAATTCGCGCATCGTCATCGAACGCCGCCGGCAAGTGCATCACGTGCCGGCTGCACTGTCCACGCGGCCGCGCACCCCACGATCATATGGAGTGCTGTCAATAAGCTTTTGTGATGAAGTTCTGACGTGCTTGGAGGCGTGCTTGATATCGCCATGAACGTCCATGAATGTTCCGAGGTTAATGAATTGCTGTAGATTAGAGTTTCCGCGACCGGCTGTATGATGATGCGTTTTACAGCAAGAGCGGCGAAAGAGCATGTAGAATCAGGAGCACGAATTTTTATATGCCTATTTTGTGTCATTAATTATTGTGCTAGAAATCCCCGTGCCACCAGTCTTCTGCCCATAATTTTGTTATTGAGAAAGAAGGCGTAGGCCGTCATGATGTGATCCTTATTTCTGATGCAATAAGCCTCTCTCCAAATAAAGAAAAGTTCAGTGAATATTTGTAATCAAGTACCTAATTACACTAATTACAATTTCAGCACAAAAAGTATGTGTAATAATTTCAGTATATGGTTTTATTCAATTGACAATCTTTTGTGTCATACCTATCACACCACTGCTTCATGCAAAGAACTTGGTTTGAAATCCATACTTGTTCTTTGTAAATCATGAAAAGGAGTAAATCGTGAAAAGAAGTCAAATATCTCAAGACAAACCAGAGATCACAATTTTTAGGTGTCTTAGAGACGTAAAGAAAGTTGAAACTTTAAGCGCAGCTTTCTCAATACTGTTTTTTTTTGACATTATGCTCAGCCCCTCCACATGGTTCAATGAAGAAATAATTTGTTTCTCGTAAAATATTTGTGGTATCACTTCAAAATTTTTTTGAAAGCATTGTGAGGTCATTGTTAGTGTCGGTGCCAATTTTCATCAATATTCAACGAGAAACAAAAAAGTTCATTGAAAAACGCCTGTCGAAAACTTCGACAGGCTTTTTCTCACAAGTGTATTTTGGACATTGTGCATTGCTCGTGGAAAAATTAGCACGGGAACAATTGGACCGATTTTGATTCTGTTTTTTCCCCTGAATTCCTGAACACTGCTTGTGGGTACAGCAATCTTGACTTTCTGTTTTATGGCCCTGTTATTTTTCTAGACGATGATTTGTTCCTGCCACTGTTTCTGACAATGTATGTCGGCAGCCATGATGATCTCTAAAAAAAGAGTACTTAATAAAAACTTCTGAGAGTGTCATACCCTGTAGCTTTCTTTTGAGTAAAGATCAACACCATTCGCAGCTTCCTGGCATGTTTTCATGCCAGGAAAGGCCAGCAGCTTCCTGGCCTTTCCACGAGCAGACCATGTATTTGTATCGTGCAGCATTATGTAACTTGAGAACTGCTGAAGATATCATGATGAAACTGCATATTTCCCAATTCGAGACACTTATGATATGCATGCCAAATTTCATTGCTGTAGGTCAACAAACCAAAAGTTTTTTTCAATGCCACCTCCCCCCTTAAATATGGCTGCCTGTTATACTTATGTGCCTTTAGTACTAGTAGATAATTTCTGGGTATTCATTCAATAAGAATTTTTTCAAAATATTCACCAGATCTCATTTGTTTTGGTTCACTGCACAGGCTAAAGCTTTTTTATTTCCCTATGTCCCTACAAAAATAATATTCTGAGTTACAAGTAAAACTTGAGTTACAAGTATTGGTGTAAGGCCTACCTTTAAAAATCTTTTTAATTATGAAAAGGTTACAAAAAATGTGATTGTTTATAATGCTCACATGTGCCTAAAATGGTGTGCTTTATATTGCAGACTAATATTCTGTAATGATTATTGCCTTAAAAAACATTTTTGACTCTTGGCCTCGTACCTTAACAACGCAGGCGAGGAAAGCAGATATCTGCCGTGAGCTGTCATATTTAGAGATAAAAAGAAAAACAGTGGCGCGGTCATCGCTGTTACGGAAGAACGTACATTGGATGGCGTAACAAGCCTGCCAACGTCTCATTGTGTATGATAGCCGCACTACATTCAGCGTCAAAAATTTAAGCTCACCTGAGATGAGACTGGATCTCAATCTCCCGTCGAAGTTGATGCTCCATTCCGCTCTTCTGAAGCTGAGACTTGAACATGACCTGAGCAAAGAGCATCACGCTCAGTTTGGTTCTCATTCGATGGACTTTACGAAACAACAGTGGTCATATGCACACAACAGTGCAGTAAAATTTGACAATACTGTACGTCTCGAGATGAGCCGATCTGTCATTTACACAAGTGTCACCAAGTATAGCGATTGCCGCTGCTCATGCACCTTTGAGAATACCGAAGCGCCAGCAATCATTTCTATGTTCACAAGTTTTTACAACTCCAATTTGTGATGTTCATCTTATGAGATCAAATGTGCTTCTTTCACTATATATAGAATAGGGGAAAACATCAAAGAAGCTTTGATTGATTTGATAGATTTGTGGGTTTTAACGTCTCAAAACAACTATTTGATTATGAGAGACGCCGTAGAGAGGGCTCCGGAAATTTTGACCACCTGAGATTCTTAACGTGCACCCAAATCTGAGTACACGGGCCTTACAACATTTCCGCCTCCATCCTAAATGCAGCCACTTCAACCGTGATTTGAACTCGCGACCTGCGGGTCAGCAGCCGAGTACCTTAGCCAACTAGACATCCGTAACGGGGCATCAAAGAAGCTTTATTCCACTAAGTCGTAGTTACTGCTTGACTGTTATAATTATAATAATACAAGGTAATAGATAACGATGCCAAAGAAAGCAAATGAGATAGGCTTGTGTGAATGATAGTAGTGTATTCAAATTCAAATTATTGAACATTTCAACGTATTCGCAATGAACCAATAAATGTATAGTATATTATTCCGCACGCAACTGCCTTTAAAAGCAACTTTTCTGTAGTGTAATAATGCTAAGCCAAAAAAGTACCTGTCCAGGAGAAATCCGCTCTGCCGCGAAGCCCCCCTCCCCCTCAAATTTAAAGTGTCCCGCAACATTTCTTGAGCATGGTCAGGAAAATGCTGCCAATCAGCACTCGAGGCTAACGAGAACACGCAAGCCAAATTTTATAGCGCAGTACACGGCCTTGAATTCACAATAAATTCTCAGTCAGCTAAAAACTGCTCTCTTCTCTCAGCAATGATACCACAAGCTCAACAATCACTCGTCACAACCATTGTATCAGCCACTGGCTGATTTGAGCATGGTGCGCTCAGTCATTACTAGGGGTTACTGCAGACAGCCGCAAGTTGTCTACATGAACGTGCGGGATAACATTGAAAGGTTGCGTATTCGAAGAAAAGAAAAAAAGAGCGTGATCTTCTTTCCCAGTGCCATCCCTCCTTGCTTAGCTTCCTCCTCTTTTGTCAGGACGAGAGAAGAGAATGCAACTGCAGTGGGAAACAAATCTTTGCAACTCCGCTTGTACTGGACAAATTCTAAAAATTTTTGCTGTGGTGAATTCACGAGGCAATAAGCTTCGTTACTGAATCCATTCCATGGCTACTTGAACAAGTGTTGCAAGGCACTTTTCAATAAGCATATTACCCTCAAATCAATTTATCATTTAATTAAGCCTAAAAGCTTGTTATGACTGCTTATATGCTCGTAAGTAATAAATTTTGATATCTTACGTATTTACAGGTCATCACTCACACCCTACTGAAAGTTAAATCCTGCTACTACTCAAAGTTATTTTGACTTTCTTTGAACAAAAGAAATAGAGGTCCTATTTCAATTTTGAAGAAATAATGTACAGGTTAGTTAGGTGACGATAAATATGTCCATTTTTCTTTGTATATCATATATACTATTCGAATTCTCTTCAAAATTATTCTACTAAGATCACTATTCACTTTGAACCTAGAATTTACTACTCGCACAAGCCTAACATGAAATGTTATTAGAAATAATTGAAATTACATGTTGAGAAAGAAAAGCAGATGAAGAGATAACTCGCCACGAGCAGGGACCAAACCTTTGACTTTAGAATAATGCATCTGATGCTCTACCTAATGAGCTACACCAGCGGTCATCCCTCCGTCCACTTTATGGGGTGTGTGCGT